TTACTTGCATGTCACGTCTGGGGAAACTGACAATTTGGTGACCGCCGACGTGATGACGTCACCCAGACGTGACCTAGATTAGACGCAGCAAAATCAATACACCAGTCTCCCACAAATTTCCTGAAAAGAACATCACAGAAGAACGCGTTCAACAAAGAAGGTATGACAGCGACCTTTTTCTCCAGAACTCTGTCTATTTGGTAGTTAAAAACAAAAAGAAAAAGTGATTTTGCTTTTGGGACTTTTGTGTTATTTTAATTATGTGTTAATTCTAAAGAACTGTAAAAAATTAGTAATTGATAGATAATTGAGTGTTAGTAGAATAGGTGGCTTTAAAGCCAGGAATCGTGTATAACTTCACGGAAAAAAAAAGTTGGTGAATCTAAAAAACCCAATAATAGTATGTTTTAGGCTTTAAATAAGGTAAAGCATAATTAACAAAGTTAGTAATTACAAAAGTGCCGTGTTAGGCTTTGCACGAGAGAAAAGGAAAAGCTTTTATAAGAAAACTATGTCTGTGGTTAAAAAACTTTACACAGAAAATAAAAACTAAACTTTTTAATTAAGTTTAGAATAAAAAGAATAAAACAGGTTGCGCACAAAAAATAAAAGAAAGTAAAAGAGAAACAAAAAATAAAAAACAAAAATAAACTAGAACACGTAAGAAAAAGAGACTAAGAAGTAACATTAAGTAAAGAAGCAGTGCTGTGAAAATAAATAAAAAAAATGAGACAAATGCTATGTTTGTTAGGGTTACTGACTACCCAGATTTTTATTATAAGTGCTAAGTCAGTAGAACTAAGTTATAGTCAAAATAAGCACAAAAGCTCTTGTCATTGTAAGATAAATTACGGATCGATACAACTTATTGGGGTGTTATATATCTCCTGCGGAGCAGAGGATATCGATGTAGTAAACTTAACAGGTAAAAAGGAAGTGATTGCGACTTACTCTCCTCATTACGGTGCTTTTTCAGAAGAGTGTGACTCTGTAAGCGTTATCAAACATCCCCAAAATGACAATACCGACATTAACTTCCAGTGTACGTGGAATAAAAGACCGAAAGAAGCCAAAATGGGATGTGTGTGTGTGTCCATACCCCAAGGAAAAACAGAGACACACATTGAAAATATTTGCAAAAATAATACAAGTATATACGCTGTAAACACTACTACTAAGGTAAATATAGAAAGTGTCACCACAGAAATTGAATTTTGTAACCACGTCAGAGACAGACACAGAGGAGAGCGCGTCTAAAATAAATGTCATGCCATTTCCCATAAGATTAAAACTAGTGAAAGCAGATTTAGAATCTCAAATGATCGAAATATTATCCACAACACCTGAATTTGTAACTGTCGAACCTACAAACCCATCAACTGAAAGAAGTACTTCTACCGTCACCTTTAAAACTGTAACTGACCTACCTCCACAATTTGTAACACTAAATGCTACGTTCGCACGTAATACGACAGATGAATTTTTTTATGACTTATCGACTGCCTTTAATGGATCAGATATAACAAGTCTGTTTGATATCCAGTCGATAAAAAATAAAATTAGTACTTTCATGGAGAAAATTACGTCTACGGTAGGAACAGGTCATAACCCAATGTACATGCAAGATGCATATTTGGACACTATAACTAATAAATTAAGAAGTGAACTATTGAAAGGGTTGTCTGAAAATATAACAAGAAATGTATGTCCCATTAATTATACCACTGAAATATTAAAGGACTTACAAGGAGAATATGACATGTTAAAAAGTATGGTGGGAAGGAGTTTTGGCTACGCTTTAACTGCCTTAATTTTTGTTTTTCTGATTTTAATTAGCATATTAATTATTGCTGTGATTTTATGCATATGTTTGCCAAAGTTTGTTATAAACGGAGAGCGAGATTTAGATAGATTTACGTTATCACACCATCCTGATTTTGCTTCTGTATCTAGTTGGGATGAGGAAATAATAGATGAGGGCAGCTTAGAAGTTTAACTGGGTAATTTTTGGAACAAAAAAGATTAAACAATAACCATATTTGGCCAGTGAGATTATACTAAATATATTGGAGTTGTCCACCTTTGCAGATAGACTATAGAGATTATATTTAAAATTCTTTGGTGACATTTTTTTGGGGGTGCACTGACATTATGCTCTTTGGTTGGCATGGCTGAAAATGGCAAATTTGTGTGCGGTTTTTGTTTGCTGTGCTGTTGCTGCTGTGATATTTTGTATGTGTTTTCCTGTCTGTGTTTGTTGCATATGGTGAGCGACTTATAGCGTGCATAAGCGGAGAGGTTAGCGTGTGTATACGGGGAGGTTAGCGTGTGTACACAGGGAAGCTAAGAGTATGTACGCGGAAAGGTTAAGAGTGTGTGAGGCCTGGGAGGCGAGGACGGCAGAAAGAATTAGTAAGTTGATAAGAGGGTATGCGGTGTATAATACGAGTTTATGGGAATTCAGAAAAGTTGATGAGAGGGAGGTGCGACGTGTGCTGGAGAAGTGTGGAATGACTGAGGGTGTGATGTATCATGGAAATAAGCAAGTCGGTATGAAGGTGTGTGAAGTGGGTTCAGCAGAAATGAAGTAGGAATTAAGTAAGTAGGGATGATGATATGCGAAATGTGTAATGAGGCATGGATACACTTTTGAGAAGTACAAGGTTATTCAAATTTAATTATGTTTAATTGCATTTAGGGTATAGAGTAACTATAACCTATTTTGTGTTTGCTTGTTTTCCTTAAAATTCTAACCTCGTATTGTTAATTTAATGTTGATTAAAATTGCCTGTAGCTTTAATGTACGATTTATAGTTTAAATATACAATATTGTTGAAAAAATTCTAAAACAATTAATATATTAATCAATGATAATTGTTAAAAAGAGAAGCTTTGAGTAGTTTTAAAGCAACATTATTTTGAATCAAATTGACATTATTGCTTTTAATTTATGGATAACCTGTTTTCACAATTAAACTGATAAAGTTCTTTCACATTAATAAACAACAGGCTTGTGTGACATTAACTGATGGAACATTTTTGTTAAGTTTAACATTTTATTTCTCAAGAGTGTTGGGGCTGAAAGAGTTGTGAATGATGTAGCAGGAAAATGTGCAGATGTTTATTGAATGACTGAGGGGTGCACCCTAATTTAAAGTGTGACCAAAAGATATTTGTTATTTTGCGTTGAAATAGTTATAGTTGTCAAAATTAATCAAAATCTCTACTTCGGTATTTTCTCATAAAATTTATATATTTTTTGAGCTGTCTAAACTGTTACGCTCCATAATTTGCTACCCCTTTAATGTATTCTTACTTCACAGATCTAACATTAGCCCTGCTCTGTGTACTCTGTTTTATTTTATATACAGTTTAGAAGCTTCTTCAATTGATGTGGCTCATAACAGAAGCTTATTTGCTTGAAATGTTGTCACTTAATGATTACCGTCAAAATAAATTCATGTTTTTGTAAGCTTACGTTGGATCAGATTTAGATGTTGTGGATTCTAGATTTGGAGGAGCAGACAGGACCAGTGTTTTGGACCTGATTTAGTCCCGGTGCAGCCCTAGTCTAGTCCTGGTTCAAGTCCAGGTCTAGTTCTGGCATCGATCCAGCTCTGAGGGAGTCAAAGGGCAAATGATAACACAACTGCAGTCAGTCCCGATTCAATCCTGGTCTAGTTCTGGGTTGATCCTGGTTTAGGTCTGATTTATTTTTAGTTCAGAGCTGGTTTTCAAATTTAATCTAGTGTTGGAAAATGACGTATGAATGGATTAGACCTGGCTTGGTTCTTGGTTGGACCTGGTCTAGTCCTGGTTTATTTCTGAGTAAGACCTACTTTAATCATAGACCAACACTGTTTTAAAGCTTGTTTGGGCTGGTATTGATTTGGCTCTGGTTTAGTTTTGTTTTGATTACAATCTATCATTGTCCTGGCCCTGCATTATTTCTACTTTAGTCCTGGTTTAGTTCTGCTTTGGTTTTGGTTTATTCCTGGTTCTGCCCTGGTTTAGTCTGCCACTCCAAATCTGTCTTTTGCTCAAAATCCTAATTCTAGTGTTATTTTTAATATACATTTTCTATAAGAGTTTGCGTTAAAATAGCTCTACATGAATTACTATTTCATACTGAGTATTTCTCAAAAACAAAAAAAACAAAACAATAAGGACATTTTGAGTTTAACATCCTGCAATTAGATATTATGGAAAAAATTAATTAAGGGTTGCAAAATAAAACTGCTATTAGAGGACAATGCTAGAATTGTCAAAAAATAAATTGTAAATACATAATCCTAATCAAAGCTGTACTTCCAATATTATCTGAATTAAACTTGTTTTTCTTTTTAGAAATCGGTCTAAGGACAGGAAGTGAGCGCGTGGGATAAGCCCTTCGAGATCAAATAGCCCCTAGTGCCTACAGGTAGACTGTAAAAGTTAGATAATTCACAAAAGAAAAACTAAAGAAGAGGAATCGCAAGGAAGCAAATTATTCTAAAACAATTTACTATTAAGATTTTTTAAAAAAAAGGAAAGAACAGACAGAAAAAATAATAATAAGACTAGATAATAACCCGCCCTACAAAAAATAAATAATTTTTTTACAATATCCAATTTGTAATAAATAGTAGCTGAAAAAAATAACACTAAAATATCACAATGTCCCAATTTATAACATTAAAACAGCTTAAAGAGTTCTGGATTAAAAAGGTGCTGGAAGAAGAAGCTAACCCGAAGAAAGCCCAAACACGTCTATCTACTGTCCGAAATGTCCTCAAGAAATATATAAGGAAGGGGATGGTACATGGAGGAAAAGATGCAATAGCCCCCACAGAGGAACAATGGAAGTTCATCAAGAGTTACTACAAAGACAAAATCAAACAGTACAGATCTAAACCTGCTAATAATCTTATAAAAAGGAAAATAACTCAACTTAAAATACAGAAGTGCGAGAAGGAGATGAGACTGGCGATGAAGATGCAGAAATGGGCAAAAGAATTGAAAGAGAGACAAGAGATGAGAGAATTGTCCTCCGTTCTAGTTCTCAAGCAAAGCGAGAAGGAAGCGATTGTGAAGGAAGAACTTCTAAAAGAAACTTTTAAAGGACCAACGAGATTATACCCCAATTTATAAAGAAGACAAACCATCACACAAATATCACACGCGTTCCAAAAGCAGAGATTCCTGGGAAGGATCTGAAGAATCCGAAAATGAGGAAGAAGACGAGATGTTGAATAAAGAATTTAACAGGAGACAAAGGTCACACAGCATGAGCAGAGCAGACAATACAGACGAAATACCCCGACTCAAGAAGACATTATCATATGCAGCAAGCTTATCATCAGATAATGAGAGACACCATCATAAGATGACAAAGAAGATTGCTCCTCCACCATATCAAAGAATCACCAGCAAAAGTTCAAAACCTAGAACAACCCCTGCTTCAATGAGGTCATCAGATCGAGTGACATTGTTTACTCCGCAGATAACTCATAAAGTACATGGAGGAGAGTTGGCATTAACACCAGTTGAAGCACCCTCAAGACAGTTAGAACTACAAATAGAGTCACTTCAAAACCAAATGTCTGCATTGACTCAAATTATGGAAGTTGAAAAGAAGATGAGCCAACATGATGACGAAGAACAAAATGAAAGACACATGAGAAAGCAAGACATGATACATCAAGACGCCAGGAAGACATCAATGAATCTTGACAAGGAAATAACAGTGGGAACAAGCAGAAGTTTGCTTTCAAGGACTAAGGAGAATGAAACAAGGGGAGCTACGGCAGAAGTCTTAACAAAACAAAATAACGAAGCCTTTCAAGTCACAGGATTATTCAGTGGACTGGTTGACAACACGGAATATGAGGAGGCACAAATCAATGGAATCATCGACCCTACACTACGGAGACAAGAAGAACCTGCAGCTGTCTACCCCATAAGGATGGATGGTCAACAAATTGTATACCAGCCATTCTCACTAAAGGACTGGAGTGCTCTGATGCTTACACTGCCAAAGTTGACCAAAGGTGGCGTACCATGGATGAGAGCTCTCCTGAAACAAACGGCTGGAGATAAACTGTGTTGGGGAGACATACAAGCTGCTCTAATCGAAGCTGCTGATGAAACAGTCGCTGGAAATATCAAAAGAGCTATAGAAGGAAGAATAAGAGTACAACTACAGAATAACCTCGCCATTCATATCTTTCGTGACGCCTTAGAAGGAGAACTCAGGACAAGATTTCCATGTATTGTCACTGATGAGTTGCTGTCTATGCAGATGCGAGATAACGAAGATTATTACAGTTACAAACAGCGTGGCACCAACCTGTACCATGATGTCACGGGGGAACCAATTGAAGTTGGAACCGGCATGTCAGTCATGTTTCGTTCTACTCTGGTAAAAGGCATGCCTAAGTCAGTACAAGAAGCCTTACAAAATATAATGGGACTGTACAGCAAACCTGAAGATGAATTTGATGCACACTGCAACCATCAGGTAAACAAGTGGCAGAAAGATAAGAAGGAGATTGAAGAAAAGAAACAAGAACTGGAGCTGGCCACTGCAAAGTTACAATTACAAAAATATCAAGATGAACTCAAAGAGAAGAAGAAGGAGAAGAATTCGAAAGTGATGAAAATACAGCCAGAAACACCTGAAGACGACATATCACCTATCACAGAACAACTAGTCACTGCAATCAAGATGGTGATGAAATCTCAACAACCACAAGAAACAACAATGACACCTAATACCCAGCAAGGTCAACCCATGCAGATACCAAATGTCACTATCTACAACGGCCCTCAAGCAAGGAATCAAGGAGGCCCAAGATACCCTGGAAAAAACAAGGGGACAATTAACATAAATAACTCAAGACTAAATGATCGATGCTTCGCATGTCAAGGAATAGGACACTGGAGAAAAGACTGTCCTGCAACTGCACAAAGACCAAGACAAGGACCAAACCATTTTCAACAACACATGCAACCAATGCGGGGTTACAACCAACAGCAATTCATGCAACCAACGATGCCATCATACAATGCACCAGTCGGGATGCCACGACAAACAGCTGTTCCATTGCCCCCAGCACCAAATGGAAGAATAATGAATGTCGGAAATCAATATCAAGGAGGAGGAGACTTTCATGGAATGTTTGAATGAATATAATGATTGTTGAAGAGGCCCACATTCAGACCATTCGCTGAAACCATGGAACAGCGAACCAATGGTGGTCTTGAAGATAAATGGACAGAAGATTAAATTTTTGGTGGATTCAGGAGCTACAGTATCCTGTATACGTCAGAAATTTCCACTCTCATCGAAGACTATGTCCATAGCTGGCTGTGTGGGAGATCCAGAAGTTAAAACGTTTACTGAACCATTGGCAGTAACAATGAAAGAACAAACAGTTGAACATGAATTTTTATATTTGCCAGATTGCAATATCTCCATATGCGGAAGAGATTTGATGTGCAAATTATCATTATCTGTTATTTTCTGCCCAGAAGGTCATAAAGTATTCGACAGATGTGAAACACTCAAGATGCTTAAAAATGTGACTACGTGCAAAACTGCTGAGATTCTGTACCTTTCTCCAGATGTCGTCCAAGATTTAAAGTCGCAAGTCACAATTTATTGGACCCAAGTACTCACAGATCCAGAAAAAGGAAACACTGCATCAGCATTGTGGCAGAACTACAAGACATGGGCAAGATCGTTATATCCACTCAGTGAACCTCTGGACCCCTTGCATGTCACTTTACACTACTCAACATTGGAAGACGACGTCTATGATGAACAATGGCAGAAAGTCGACAGACAAACTTTTCAAGTAAGCTATTCATGCCTCTATCTGGGCCCCCAAGGTATGGCACTTGCAGTCTCCCTCCCAGAAGAGTTGAAACCATATTTCATGGGGAGTGAAGAAGGAGCACCTCACGTGACGCTCGCTATCTCAAGACATCACACATCAAGACAACTTGGCCCGATGGTCAAGCTCGCCTCAAGTCTACAATATGAGGCCACTGAAGTCGAAGGTGTTTTCTACAACTCACAACACCAGATGTTCAGAGTGGTACTACCCCAAGGTTCTGAAGATAACACAAGAACATCCAAACAAACTAGACAACGAACTTCTGAAAACCATCCGGATACTGAGAAGTACCTTGCACAAGTACCATCAAACATCTGGATGACACACCCGAACGATGTGGGTCAGACAAGGCATACCGTTAAAGTGCAACTTACCACCGACAAACCAATATATCATCCTCAATATCCACTTAGAGAAGACCAAGTAGCTGGGATTCAAGAGACTATCAACGGATTACTAGAATCTGGAGTGATATATGAAACAGAATCAGACTATAACACACCACTTTTTCCAGTGAAGAAATCAGATCTGCAAAACTGGAGGATGGTCCAAGATTTTCGTCCACTCAACGAGATAACAGCAGGAGAATCATATCCAGTGCCAGATCCATATCTAACTTTAAATAATCTTTCTCCAGAACATTGTTTTTTATACTGTGATCGATCTGGCCAATGCATTTTTTACTATCAACTTGGACGCCTCATCCCAGAAATACTTTGCCTTCAGACACGGAAACAAAGTTTATTCATACAGAAGAATGCCCATGGGTTGGAAGCACAGTCCCGGGTTCTTCAGCAACTTCTTAAGAAAAGATCTGGCAGATTTGGATTTCCCAGAGTCGTGTACCCTAATCACTTACGTGGATGACATCCTCATCGCTGGAAAAACGGCAAAAGACGTCCTAAAAGCAACAGTACAATTGCTTACACATCTCTCAAAGAAAGGGTACAAGGTCAAAAGGCAGAAGATGCAAGTTGCAAGACAAACAGTGCACTTCCTTGGACGGGAAGTATCAAACGGTGCACAAGGAGTGACCGACAGTAACAAAGACGCCATCTTGAATGCTCCAAAACCAGTCACAGTACGTCAAATGCTCAGTTTTCTGGGACTCTGTAATTTCTCTCGAGAGTATGTCCCTGGCTACACCGAACTCACCACGCCTCTCAGAGAGCTCATTAAGCCACATGGTATGCATAATCTTTCAGCTGAATTATTCTGGACGGCAGAAGCAGAGGAGGCATTTATCAAGACAAAACAAGCTATTTGTACCGCCTGTAGCTTATGCGCTCCAAATTATGATATTCCTTTTCACCTGGATGTGACGGAGAAACAATCATTTGTCCAAGCTGTTCTTTATCAAAAACATCATCAAAGTCGAAGAGTGTTGAAACATTACTCCTGCAAGTTGGATCCACACGAACAGACTCAACCTGGTTGTGCTCGTTACCTGGCTGCTTTGACAAGGACAATTGAGAAGACCTCACATATTGTGCAAAATCATCCACTGGTGATACACACTCAACATGGAATACTTGCTTATCTCAACTCTCGTCTGTTCATTACCACTGCACGAAGATCCAGCAACATTTCAAAAACTCTGCAACAGCCCCACATTACTTATGAAGGAGGAAACATCAATATGGCAACAAATATGGAGACTGAAGGAATTCCACACGTGTGTGAAGAAAAAGTCAAAACTGAACTGTATGTGAGAGCAGATTTGCATACTACTCCACTTTCAAATCCAGACATGACTATTTTCTGTGATGGCTGTTCCTACAGAGCAAAAGAAGGCCATGTCATATCATCGTATGCAGTGGTGGAACAACTGCCCTCCAACCAATATCGTCTGATGGAAGCCCAACAGATAACGAAAGGATCTGCACAAGTAGCTGAGCTTACGGCGATGTTACGTGCACTGCAACTTTCAGAAGGCAAAGCAGTAAATATCTATACAGATTCAAGTTTATGCCTACAAGACTGTCACATTGTCCTTGGCCGGTTGGATCAGAAATGGCTTCAAACTTATGACCGGCCTCCCAATTAAGCATGAACAACTGATTAAACAACTCATAGACGCTGTTCAACTGCCATCAAGACTTGCCATCATGAAATGCAAAGCTCACACAAAGGGAACAGACTCTATTTCCCTGGGAAATCAAGCGGCAGACCAAGCTGCGAAGAAAGCTGCAAATTATGATGCAAGAAACATGCTTGTCCATGTTGATGGAAACGTTGAGATGCTACCCGATGCAAATGTAATAGATGCAACATACATAAAGGAAATTCAAGAAGCAGCTGGAGTCTACGAACAGAGCGCCTGGAAACAACGTGGTGCTACAAAAGATGCTACAGGAATTTGGAGAAATCATGAAGGACGCATTCTGGCTCCAACACCGTTGCTTCGAATGCTCTTTGAAGAATACCACACCCCAACTCATCGAAGTTATGAAGCCATCTCGAAACATATTGATTTATGGTGGCATCCTCATTTGAAGCCGATTATGCAATATTGGATAGACGAGTGTCACGTTTGTCAGACTATGAACCCGAAGAAGTCTTGCAAGCCACCTCCAGGAACTTATGCTCTCCCAAATAAGCCTTTTGAAAGAATCGTCATGGATTTCACAGACATGGGTCCTGAGATGAGAGTCCGAGGATACCGTTACCTGTTGGTTATAGTCTGTGAGTACACCAAATGGGTTGAAGCATTCCCCTGTAAGACAGAAACTGCAAAGGAAGTCGTCAAGACATTTAACTACTGATGTTTTTCCACGTTTTGGCATTCCAGATGTCATAAGATCTGACAATGGGACACATTTCACCGCCAAAATAGTCCGTGATGTGCTAAAGGCTCTTAACATCACCCAGCGCTTTGGAACTGTCTATCACGCCGCCAGCCAAGGAGTCTGTGAACGAATGAATGCAACTGTCAAGAGAAAACTTGCAAAGGTCTGGAAAACTACAAAACTTGATTGGGTCACTGCCCTACCGTTCGTCCTGATGGACATCAGAAACAGTGTAAATAAAACTACATCATATTCTCCTCATCTACTACTGACTGGAAGAGAAATGCATAAACCTGAAGGCCCATTCACTGAAGATGCACCATTCATAGACTGGGACAAACAACATCACGCATATGTCCAACAGCTTCAAGAAATAGTGATGCAGCTGCATAAATGTCGACAAAGAACGCATGACTTACAGGTCAGAGCCAATCCAGATATAACCGTCTCACCAGGATCTTGGGTGTACGTAAAGGTACACAAACGGAACAACTGGACACAGCCATATCAAACTGGTCCGTATAAAGTCATCCAGTCCACTGGGAGATCTGTACAAGTTGAAAAGGGAACATCTAAAGTGTGGTACCATTTATCGCACTGCTTCAAGTCACCAGTAGACCCAAATGATCGAAGTCTAACCCAAATCCAAACTGACATTGCCGCTACATCTACCATCCAGGATGAAGATGGGGAAAACCAACGAAATCCGGACACTGCTGGAACCAGAGAACCTAAGAAACAACCCTGTCCACCGTCCACCACTGAGGCTCCAGAGGAGGAGGAGAAAAAGGGGAGAAAACATAGAAGGGGAGTATAGGCCATGCTTTTTGAGAAATTCTCAGTGTCTATCTTTGATTATGCTAATCTTTATCTGTTGTATCTGCTTTATAGTACCTATCCATAGAAGCCTTGGAACTGACCTCGGACAGCCACAGCCAACAATCAAAGAAACAACTGAGCTGGCGACCAACAATACGGGTAAGGGTCAAGGAGCACTGAACAGATTAAAAAGAGAAACACCAAAACTTGCGAAATTTTGTTATGAGGGACAAACTTGCAATATCCTATTTGACGCATGCGAAGTTTTCGACTGCATGTTAAATATCCCAGCTATAGATCACGTATTCAATGTACAAGTTCTTTGCAAAGATACTTGTCTGACAGGAAAAAATGGTAATTCAATAGGGTTTGCCAGAGTTATAGCCAGTACTGATGAGCAACACGAAACAGAAAATACTTTCAAAACTGATTTACAACAGAGAATTACTCTAACAAAAAACAGGAAAGATGATGCAGCTTTCCAAGCAGACTTAAAACATTGTAGAGGGCGTAAATCAATTACACAACGATGTAATCCTTTGTTATTATCAATTCAAAATTCAATATTTAATGACGCTGGTATATATTCTATAGGGTTCCTGTGTTCTAAAATCCCTTCTGTGCCATGTAATAGGAAAATAAAGTTAAATTTCGAAGGATACATACAAATAACAATTTTAAAGACTAATAAGCCTGCTTCAGAAAATGATTTAATTTCCCTAACTGAAGCAATAAAAATCGAAACAGGACAAGATTTGAATGAAAACACGTGGTTAAAATGGGTGCAGTATACTGCCCATACTGTGACTACAGAAGATTGTATTGTATGTTCTGCGGCCAGACCTAGGTTAACCAACCACTACATCCTTACCATATTCTAATGAAACAGACCTGACCTGTATCCTTAGACTCTTTACTAGAAAATCGTTTGATAAAACTGATGAATGTTATCACCTCCATCACAAACTACCAGTAGTAACTTCAAAAGATGTACCTACATCTTGGACGATGGGAATTGCTAGATATACCTGCTTCCTTAGAGATACTGTTATAAATACGGGTACAAAAAAAGGCTGACAAAGATTGAAATAGAGAGTTTCTCAGACAATTTCTGTAATCAGACTTTGTCTTCTGATAATTATAAAGATTTTGTCCTTTTAACCAACCACTCTATTGCCCGTGCTGATATTTGGTGGTTATGTGCAGATTTACGCTTATATGCCATTCTACCAAAGACGTGGTCAGGCATTTGTGCACCGATTATGTTATTTGTTCCATTTACTATTGGCCCTGCAAATTCAGTTATGAGTCTAAAACCGACTAAATTGTCACACAGATTTAACTTAAAATATAACCATGTGTCCAAAAGGTCCTCTCACCGGGTTAGACCCAAACTTAAAGGATCTTTTAATGATGATATTTATATAAGCGCTATAGGAACCCCAGTAGGTATCCCAGACGAATTCAAAGCACAACACGAAATTGTGGCTGGGTTCACCGCAGCTTTATTTCCTGCAGTAATGGCAACTAAAAAATGCTATCTGGATAAATTACCTCTACTATAATCAACAAAGATTCATAAACTATACGATTGAGGCACTAGAAGGCATTGTAGAACAATTGGGCCCAACTTCACTCATGGCCTGGCAGAATCGAATCGCCCTTGATATATGATACTTGCCAAAGAATCATCAGTATGTAGTATGTTTGGGGCAGAATGCTGCACCTACATACCAAACAACACTTCTCCTGATGGGAGTATTACCAAAGCTTTAGCCAAACTCAAATCATTATCAGCAGAACTGGTTAAGAACTCTGGTGTACCTGAAAATACTTGGTTTAACTGGCTCTATAAAATATTTGGCCCTTGGACGGCTACTATAGTATCTCTTGTTACTACTATTTTGATTATAATGGCAGTATTAGTCGTAATTGGATGTTGCATCATTCCGTGTATGAGATCGCTGGTAGAGCGTTTGATTACTTCTGCCCTTACACGAAATGCTCCTGTTACTCAAATTTTATTACTCTCTACTGATTCTCAACTTTCACGTCCCGAACCAGATGACTGGGTTTGATTAAAACCCTACAGATTAAATCATTGATTTAAATAAGAGATTAAAACAGCTTCTAAGTAAGTGCTCCTTGTCTCTTCCGCTGTCCGAGAGTCATGTATTGATTATGTATTATGCTATTCAGTGTGTTATGTTAGTAAAACTTGAGATATGTTGAAATCAAAAAGCTAAGGCTAAAATGATATTTACTCACACATGGGGTTTTTAAATTTGGATAAATTGTAGGTGGAGGTAGCGCCTTGCTTCTCCATATTGGTTGAGTGATCACATGTTTAATGTGATCAAATAGGGGAGATTGTGGGTTTATTTTCTTGTGTTGATGCTTTACTGTTAATTGAATCATATCAAAATGTTTCTTGTTATGTTTTCTTTTGGTTGCTGCCCCAAACCAAGGTCCAAAGGGGGGCGTATGTGAACCTGGTAGCCTGATCAATATGTCTGCAAAATGTCCTTCAAAACAAGTTTTATCAAATATGTATGTGGACTTTCTTGTTTAAGTGAGCTAATCAATAAGTTAATATTTCAACAAGATGTCATGTATAAGAGCTGTCTATTCTGCTGTCATTCAGAGACGCTGGTGACCGAAATCCTGTAATCATTTGAATTGAGTTCTGTAAGCTGCCTGCGCTAAAATAAAGACATCGTAGATCTTCCTATCTCCTGAAGTTTTTTGCTTAGGAGTTACTTGCGTGTCACGTCTGGGGGAAACTGACACTTCATTGTTTCTCTCTTCTGATTTTTCTTTTATTTCTTTTTCCTTATTTCTATTTCTTTCTCTCTTGTCCTACTTTTCTGTTTTCCTGCTTCGAGTTGTTCTCATTTCTCCCCTCTGTTTCTCAGTCCTCTCTCCTCTCTCGCTTCCTCTCTCTCTCTCACCTTCTCCCTGTCTCTTCCCCCTCTCTTTTCTTCTTCTTTCTCTCCTCTCCTTTCCTTCACTTTCTTTCTCTCCTCTCTCACCTCTCTTCCTCTCTTCCACCATATCTTCATCTGTAAGGGAGGAGGAAGGGGAGAGAGAAGAGAGGATGGGGTGAGAAAGAGAGAGGATTTTCCCCCTCTCCTCCTCCCTCCTTCTTTCTTTCTTTCCCTCTTTCTTCTGACTCTCTTTCCTGCGTGTGACAGGATTAAGGAGGTAAACTTTTGTACCTGTGAAACTTGATCGTTTTCTCGCTTCTTTTTCTTATTCTCTTTATTTCTCACTCTCTCCTCTCTCTCCCTCTGTTTCTGTTCGCTCTCAACTCTTTCTCACTTTCTCTCTGCTTCTTTCATCCTCTTTCTAGCTCCTCTCTTCTTCTGTCTCTCTCTGCCTCCTGTCCTCATTTTTTCTCCTTTCCCTCTCGCTTTCTCCCTCTTCTCTCTTTTATCACTCTCTCACCCCCCTCAATCTGCCTTTTCTCCCTTTTCTCATCTCTCTTCTTTGTTTCTTCCTCTTTCCCTGTCTCTCTCTTTCTCATTAAGTATTGCAATTTCCTTCCTCTCTCTCTCTCTCTCTCTATCCCTCTATCATTCTCTGTCTTTTTCAACTCTCTCCTCTCTCACCTCTCTTCTCGCTCCCCTCCCTCTCTCCCTTTCTCGCTTCATCTCTCTCTCTCACCATCTCCCCGTCTCTTCCCCCTCTTTTCTCTTCCCCTCCGTTCCTTCACTTTCGTCCTCTCTCTTCCTCCATCCCTCTCTCATTCTCTTTCTTTCGCTCTTCCTCTCTTCCCCCATATCTTCGTCTCTCCAGGAAGGGAGGAGGGAGACGAGAGGATGGAGTGAGAAAGAGAAAGGACTCCCCCCTCTCCTCCTCCCTCCTTCTTTCTTTCTTTCTCTCTTTCTTCTGACCCTCTTTCCTGCGTGTGACAGGATTAAGGAGGTAAACTTTTGTACCTGTGAAACTTTATCTGGGCCCGGTCCTGCGTTACAGAGCGACTCGTAACGGACACCTCCAGCTGCGGGGCGCCGGGGAGAGGACAGGTGAGGGCAGGTGAGGAGGAGGGGGGGGGGGCGACAGGTGAGGGCAGGTGGGGGGGGGGGGGGGGGGGTCACCTGGTCCAGTTTCCGGGCAGAGCTGGGGTCTTTCTCATCACCTGCACAGAGAAGTTCTGAATCACCACACAAAGGTTAGTCAAAACAAAATACTGGAATTTGCTTTTGACCGTTCACCAGAAAATCACCTGCTTCCTTTTCACAAATGTGTAAACCAGATGCCCTTCCACGGATTTGCAACGAAACAGACTGACTCCTACTTCTACTACAATTATTACTACTACAATTACTACTACTGCTATTACAACTACTACTTCTATTCCTACTCCTATGACTTCTACTACTACTATTACTACGACTCCTCCTCCTACTACTACTACAAATACTACAATTTCTACTACTACTACTGCTACTACTACTACTGCTGCTATTACTATGACTCCGACTACTACTACTACTACAATTACTAAAA